TTCATTCGCTTTTTCTAAGTGGAGGTAACCCATCGACGGTCCATCGAGTTGATACGCGTAACTTCAGCCAATTTAAAAATTAGCCTGATTGCGTGAGACCTATTTTTATGGTATTTGGGCGCACCAGCATGACATTTTTTTAGCTTTATGTACATTAGAAAGGCCTTCACTTCAGCTATGGCCCGGCGACCCTATTTCTTTGTTTTTAACTGTTTAGTGGAACTCAGCTGTCCGTCTCGATCCGTAAGGATAATTTATTTTGCTTGAAAACTCGGCTCATAGTATTGCCAACGTTGTGCGATAGCAAATACTAGCAGCAGATTCTTCATTAGCTACGAATTCTTATTCCGAATTTCATGACATAACCTGACTTAAGCTTTAACTTTTGTTTGCGCTGCAATATGGCGGTGGTTTTGCGTTCGGTATGTCCAAACGGTTTCAGTTTTCTAGTATTTTCAATACGACGATGGGCCTTTGGAAATGCAGCAGTTACACCTCTCGTTAACACCTAGGTTTTAGCGCTGGCCTTCGCGGTTCTTGTAACTGTTTTGGACTGTGTTGTTCGATCATGCTTTCTCGGTCCCACTTTAACTTCCGTTTCCCCAGAAACCATTCATTTAACACAATAGTGGATCATTTCTATCCTTTTCCTGCCTTAACAATGCATCTTTATTTGTGCCTACAGCCGCTTACTATGGATCCAAAACTGCTTTCCTCTCTGTCAGAATCCGCCCATCTCGGAAATCTTTTTCCCCCCAACGACACCGCGGGAAATATTATTTTAAAAGCTAATTCAAGGGTACCGAATGTCATGAACTTTGCTATTCCCAAATTTCAAAGAGAAGACTGCAGACAGGTAATTTTTTTATTTGCATGAAAATGTCTTGGTCATACGTACAATGTTAACCCCAATTTCTTGACATGTCGTGCTAAGCTAGCTCTATTGCCTGCAATCTTCATTTACTTGGAGCTCACAACTACATTTGCGCGTTCCCATAACAATAATTTATAGCCGCTTTCACGTGTACTTTTGGATAAAAGGGTTTGCAAAAAAGTGATATACACTCACGTACTAGTACTTATGCATACGCTTTTCCCTTCTACCTTCTTTGGCTTTTTGATTTTGAATAATAAATTAAAGAGGAGCCCATGTCAGTAAGGGTAGGAATTTAAAAAAAATCTGGGCTCATATTTTTACTTTCTGCAGCGATGTTAGAATTTTTTACGTCTGATTGTACACGAAACACCGTGAACTTATGATGCCAAGCCACTGCCTTCGATTTTATGTCCGGCAATTCGACAGTCGTGACCGGCGTCTCGCACTGTCTACCCTACGGAGTGAGGTAGACTTTCACAGCCTCTATCACACTCTTTCCTTCCTATCTATTTCCTATGGCGAGGCAATGTCAAGATGACTGGAGTTAGGCTCGGTCGTAGGGGTTGACTGGGGTAAAACAACTGTTTACGCGCGCCACACACGAACCGGTTCCCATAGCATGCGCCGGGCTTTCATGAGGGCGGCTTGGATCTCAAATGCCTGGGTGCCATTAAGATCACCTTAAAAAGGACTCACTCCAGCATGACTTCCAGTATTGAGAATAACTTGACTTATTTGTCGCGCCGTTTAATTCAGGGGCAAACCTTAAAAATTACGACCCTGAGGACTGCTCTGGTGTAAGAAGCAGAGGCGTTAGAAGCCAAGGGAGAGAGCACTGTGTTCTG